TCACCTCTGAGTACGCGTGGGCTTGAGGTGATAAACTTCACGCACGAGATAAAAATACGTCAATTAGGTTGTTTGAGATTCACCACATAATTATTTCCTTTTATGGGTTTGCTCCCTTGTACAGATGATATTTTATCTCTATCGATACCGCACAAACGGTTTTCACAGCCAATTAGATCAGCCAATTAAGTTATGAAGAAAAGGTCTAGTATATGACCCTTTAGTTCTCACTTTCTCTTGTTACTTATTTAGATCTTTTGGGGAAAACCCAGTGGTTCGAAAGCAAAGAAGAAACCAAGTTTCGATACGTCGTCAGACTAAAATACTTAAAGACGGTCGTCGAGCACTTGCTCAATAAATTTGAGTAAGATTCCATCCTCTTCACAAAATATAGATTCTTTCTTAATTAAAGTTCAAGTTGTGCGTTGGTCATCAATTTGGTATTAACCTTTCGTTGAATTTCAATACATGTTCAATTGAACATCAAGTTGACGGAAAGAGGAAAAGAACTGAACAAGTGTTCAAACTACAAGTTAAAATTCCTGTCTTCTGACGACGGACAGAGCACACACTGTCTGAAACGCTGAGGTAAAAGTTCTTTTTAGAACCGCACATACATGTCCTCACAAAATAGATTTCCAATGGTGTCTCCGCAAACCCTCTACAAAATAAGACTAATATTGAGGCAATCGATATCCATGTGCCGGCACTGAAGCCCGGACAGACGGCTGAGCATATCCTGATGGTTCACGGCTGTATGGCCAGGCTCTTTCTTCGAATTCTACGAGGTAATTCCAAACAATTTTTAACCTGGAACATTTTCTTTACCTAGTTTCCAAGTTATTCCAGTAATTATGGGAAATTCAAAGTTGGCTCAATTTCGCCTCCTGCGCTTTTTAATTCGAATGTCATTCCCATGTTGACTGACGCTATAAGTCAGGATGGGAACGAAGATGACATTTGGAGACCATCGTTTTCCGCTCTACCTAGCTGGCTATGACATTTTGAGAAGCTGTTCACAAGCAAAATTAGCAAAATCTTTATGATACAGGCCGCTCAACTTACAATTTCCGTTTGTCATTAGATAGAGTTGTGGTATAACAATTTTGGACACAAATTGATTTAGGCCCACATCTCACTGTTAACTGTACAACTTCGCAGAATGGAAACATTTCATGCTGTGCAGTGGGTTAAATTTGTGCCAGGAAGTGACGAGAAGATGGGAAACGGAGCATAGCATCGTGGGGAAACAAGGGGGGCGGGGTGCAACACTACGGGCAATGTTTGTGATACAGGACATACATCTGTGCGTATTGCTCTCCTGCACAACCTTACATCAAAGCAGCAGATCTATGGCAGAAAAATGTTCTCCTTTTTGAGTGCAACTGATTGTGGGGAATTCGGATTCTTCACAATTCGCCTTAATTTTTCTAACCGCGAAAAAGTGGGGGACATGGTTCAACATGGTGGTCAGAAAGTGTGTGTAGGGCTATATACCTCCATTACCTTTACCCTCATGACGCTGTAAACTGCTTGGTCTAGCCAAAGTATGGGGTTGATCTGTGTTGAACACTGAATGCTATTTGCAGGGCTGCATGTGAAAGAAACTGGCAGCATATATTTCACAAGCTTATAATTCGTGTCTAATTCGACAGCTACCACGTCCGGGGTTCAAACCCCAGTTTGATCAGAATCGGAAAATCGGAACCTATCTGAATGGGTGTTGACAAAAATGAAGTTGACTATGTTTTGCTGATATTCTGCGGGAAACCTATATGATTCCTGGTCTCAACACGCACAACTAAACTGGTTCGCACTTAAAGGCAGGTTCATTATACTGCTGAGCCAGCTTTCATTTTTGCTCTTTTTTCAGCTGTTTGAACCACGCCCTACCGGCTTGTTCAGTCTGCCTAATGACTTGCCCAGATCCAAAAAGAACTGGTCACCTCGCCATTACAAGAAAATCGTCTCCTACAAATCCTACGGCACCGCTTCCTTTCTTCGCCCAGCCCTTCGTCGCACAGATTTTAGTGCAGGAAATACGTCACACGTGGTCACTGCTAACAACGTGCCGAGCATTGTGGTTAAATTTCTGCCAGGCGCACGAGCTCGCCCAATATGGCTGTTATCAATTCGATATGTTTTCTTTTTCTTCTTCCTTGCTGAAAATATTCTCATTATACTTTATTAGTTCATCCAAAATTGATCAAGATAACCAGCGATTTGAAATATATCGCCAAAAGACACGTGATCATTGATACTTAGAGGGAAAATACGTTCAACGTGATTGTACTAAGACCGTGTTTTCATAATAAGAGCCGACATTTTGGCTCGTGCCAAGGAATTGCCATTGGCTAACCAAAATTTCAAATAATCTTCACTAACAGGAAGTAATAACTTCGCGGTCGGAGGTCGTGCACATAGTAGCCAATCACAGTTCAAAGCCATCAGCCCCCCCCCCCCATCGGGGGCTGGGCAATGAGTGAACAGCAGTCACTTCGCAGTCATGGAGATGCCGGACAGACGAGCAAAAGACATCAGAGCGTTCGTGAGAAAGGTTGAGCGCCGCCTAGAGAGTAGAAAGTGAGCTTATTCATGATTCGTGTCGGTCAAGATTCAAACCAATAGAGGTCGCTGTCCCAATAAAATGTGGCGACTGTTTCGTTAATAACAAAGTTAAAATAATAGAGCCAGATAGTTAACCCCTAAAATTGCGCTTCCAGAACCCTTGAATAGGTACGCGAAAAATATTAAAATATGTAATTAGTTATTGTTTATGTCCTTGAAGGAAATTACTTCCAAAAAGGCCCCCTACATTATTTCTCAACATAATAATATATTGGAATTGCAAAAGAGCATGACCCAAAAGAAAAACATCGTGCTATTATTTGCCTGTCACCTCCCAATAACTTAAATAATTGATGACTTGTGCGACTGGATGTACTCATACCCACGTGAAAACGTACAAAATTATTTCGTGGTGATCTCTGTAAAAACTGAAATTGGAACAGAGGACCAAAGGTAAGTGGGACGGTTTACGGTTTTTTATTCAACTAATTTAAGTCTATTCTAACTTTTGCTGATGAGACCAATCCATCTAGAACCCATTGGCTGAAGGTAGGTAAGTCTTTGCAACGTTGTTCCTCGTTTGACGTAAGGACATGACGTGCAAACAAATGTGTGCGAATGAGGAGACCTTTGCATACAATAATGCCAGATTTGGAAGGTCAAATATGAAATCCCTTTTTAACCCACCTCCACGTATTTTTTTTTACAATTTTACTTCAAGAACAAAACCATAAATTCAGACGTGTTTGCCATTCCACAAAGAACTCTTTTTGTTTTTGATATGGCAATCCATTAATTATAAGCGGGCGGCTCATGGGTTCCAGATACTCACTGTGCGACCTTTTACTTCCAGTCTTCATTATAGTTACATTGTGACATATCGTACATTCTCAGTTCGATAGTAGAAGACTTAATGCTCACGGTGAGTATAAAAGTGAGTATAAATTAAGTAGTTGATTTTCTTCAAACGTATTATTTTTTCCCCATTTTTGTGGTGTAACTTTCTTCCGTATTTGTAAAATCTTTCATAGCTTTGCAACCTGGTAGAACTGTATATATGTAAGTATATAGAACTATATATGTATGCGGAATACTGTTCTGTAATTTGTATGTCAAACTTTGTCGCTACATTAAGTTTCTTTCTGCGATCAAAAGAACACGTAACATGGTCTGTGAATTGCAATATTCCGGTAAACAGAACGCTGCTGTCAGTTTAATTTCTCAGCAAAATTACCGTAGTCTTGTTTTTTCATGTTTTAAAAGGTAATACAGCTCTATTATTTCGGGCTTTGATTAATGTTTGTGGATTTGTAAACACTTCTAAGGCTTAAAGTGTAGACGCATTGCTTCTCGCTTTCTGAAATTTTTGTACATGCTGCACCGTTTTCGAAGTGCCAACGAAGTGACAAGAAAACAACCTGTCACACTGTGCAAATGCCAGGACCCATCCATCCATCTATGCATTCATTTAATCACAAGACTCTGGATATGTCTTCTGGGTCGAACTTCAATTCATCAAGTGACCTTGTTTTCCGTCCACGCTCTCATAATTATCCGATGCACGAAACTGATGCCTGCAATGTCTTACATGTCCATGGAAGGCTTGAATTTAAATTATTAATCTATATCCATTACAAAATGGGCCAGGAATGGATCGGGCGCTGTTTTAAGAGCAATGTGCATTACACTGTACAGATATCTATCAACACATGAAAACAAGAAATGAATAAATATTTCAAAGCCTTCAGAGAAATTTATATTGTGCTTCAATCATGGACTTCACACCTCAATTACCAAAAGGTTTGTTAGCTTGAATCCTTATACGTGTATATGTACAAGGAATATTTGATGTGAAATGGTCAATGCTTCTATTGCTCTGAATAAAAGTGCCATGCGCAATGGTGATATAAGCAACATTTTGCGTGGTGCATGCGCATCCCGCTCATGTCTATTTTTCTTAGAAACGGACCCAGTATTTTGTTACAGATCTTTGTGAAATATCATTCATTGCTGCTCAAAATTTGTGCTAATGAAAGCAGTAATCATGCTCTGCCCAAGTTGACATTAACAAAGATGCAATTCTAACTCACACTGCAAGTGGAGAAAGTCAACTGTAATGAGGTTGTGAACCTGAGGCTGGCTTCAGCGCGAGGCTTGTTCAGCGACTTTTACATAGTCATCTTTGTCGTGGGGTCTCTTGGTAAAAGTAAAGAAACGAGTAAATAAAAATAAAACTAAATTACACCGAAAAATGTCAGTGCATGAAACAGTTAAGTCACTATACGTTGGCAGGTATAAACCCGCATCAAATGTCATTGCATGAAACAGTGAAGGCAACATACGTTGGCAGGTATAAACCCGCATCCAATGTCATTGCATGAAACAGTGAAGTCACTATACGTTGGTAGGTCTAAACCCGAATCCTTTACACTTGCTAACGAAGATATCACGATGCTTCACACTTGACTGCCTCATTATCAGAAGCGAGACGAGTCAGCCACGATAGCCCACGGCGGAGGTCTCGGCCCATGCCGCGCTGTTGCCTTGGACACGCGTTGGTGACAATGGCGACTGTGCGATGCCCCGGATCGTGGAGAGCCAAAAAATAAAATAAGATATAACCAACACACACAAGCGGGTGGCGACAGCAATATGCCGAACAAGCGTGTGGCGTCAGCACTAGCCAGGATATCACCGCAGCACGCACGCGTCGCCGATGCCAATTTACAAACATTTCTGGCACTGTGTGGGTTGACTGCGTTTGGATCAAGGCATAGATATGTTGTGCTGATAGCCTGTTTTCTCGACTGACTGTACTCATTTCAAGGTGTATATTACCGTGGTATGGAGTTTAATAAATATCCAACCCTCTGGGACTACTGCTTCTAGATGGTTGACCGATAAACGAACTATCCTGTTCCTGAAACCCAGGTAAGGCTGCAATGTTGCATGCAGAAACCCTGACAAGCAAGCAGCATTTTATAGCATGTGGATGGTGAATAACGCAAATACTAAACTGGTAAGGTTATGCATGCGCCAACCAATAACACGGAAATGTCATGTGATAAGAAATGCACAAGAGGCATGGCGGGCAAGCGGTGTTGTATTCCATTTACTGCAAGACTAGCAAATAGTTGTCCTTATTTCGTCGCCAAGTCGATTATAAAGAATCGACACCAATACATTTTGAACATAAAAAATGATGCCACTATAGTTTTAATAACAGTGTTTTGTTGAAATGACGTTGTCCTACATTACAGCAACCTTTGTAACATTATTTAGACACGTTTTTGACTGCACGGTGATGCGTTGTTATAAAGCAATGTACTACTGGGTAACACAAGTTATTAAACACAAATCGCATATTGACCAGAGTGGCACAGGCCTCCTTCTGTAAACCTGGTGTAGCCCTTTTTCTTGGGTTTCGCATGATACAGTGATGACTGTTTTATGATTTTGTGGATAAAGGTTAGTTTTTTAAGTCATGCTATGTGCTAATTAAAAGATAAGAATTGCCGAAAAAAATCAGAAAATAATTTGTTACATGCCATTTTGACTACAGTTAAGTGAGAAATTGATTCACATATAGAACGGTCGGGATCAATTTTAAGAATATGGAAAGCAAGCATGACTTATGTACTATTATGTCAACACGTTATATTAAACCTTAAACGTACATGTACATAATGCATAATACTGCTTGGGTGCTTTGTATATTACACGCGTCGATAACAAGTGCAGCTACATCACACGGCATCCAAGTACGGAACATAATTTCTTTCGTTGAAAAAGGTATCTTTGCAAATGCACAACAGCACTACTCAGGCACAGAGCGATCTGCAGATTGCTTCTCTTATTCGCGCAGCCCATTATGCCAAATGACATAGCATTCTTTGAAAACTCACAAAAGAAGTTTAAAAGCGCAGCATTACATTGTAGCTTTACTATAAGGACATTCCAATTAAGACAGGGAAAGGCGATTCAAAGTGAGCGAACGTTTGACTATAGGACACTGAAGTCACAGACCGATGTAAAAAAGTATAAAATATACAATTTCAAACCTCCAAATTAACATCTGAGTGGTTATGCTTATTGTTCCTCTCCCAATTCTACCTTGTTCCCGCTTCTTTCGGTCTCGAAGGGAGCCTCCAACATTTCGGTTGTTTGGCTTCTCATGTCGACCAACGCCTTGAAATGCATAACCAAACATACATCGAAGCTGCATGTATCTGTTTTACTCTAAAAATCCAATTTGACTCCTACAGCTGCCCTGAATTGAAAATACACGAAAAAGGCTCCGTAAGGTTTTCATTTCTATTCATGTACCTTTGATAGCTCTTTTATTGAAATGCAATTTCATCCTATTCCAAGCCCCGAAAAGCCAATAAATTCTAGCCTATTAGATCAAGTTTTCTACCGTCTTCAGCATACATTTATACCATCGACAAGCACCATGCGTACAGATAAAAAAGAAGAAACAGGTCATTGTTCTCATCCGGTCATCAATATGGAGACAGGAAGCAATGATAGGCGAACTGCATCACCCCAATCAGACCATCCATCATCTTGACAAGAAAAACCAGCTGTTTGGGTATAATGACGGTTGCCTGTATTTACCCAAGCTATATACGTCGCCTCTCCTACCTGCTCCGGCGACGACAATATGGGTCCCCACTCTTTGCTCGGGAAACGAAACAGACTTCCCTCCACGCACTGGTGGGGCACCACCAGTAGCGACATTACACTCGGACAAGGAGCTTATAATATACAGGACAATCATTAAAAACGTAGCTTTCAGAATATTCATCGAAAGAAAGAGTACTCAGAAAAAGTTCTCTGCTTATTTTTCGTATTTTGTAAGCTCCATGGAGTATTACCAGAACAAAATTAGGTAATCAAAGAGAATTCAAAACGGCTTTTAATCTTTATTTCATGTACAGGCCCTTTTGGATTTTCTTGTGAGACTCTATTTTCAAAGTAACATCAAAATAAATCCTTTATCACTACCTGCTAAATTAGTATCAAGAAATCTCAAGTGATCAGGGAAATCGTGCTTTACATAAAAGAAAACACTCGCCAAACACACTTGCAAACAATGCACAGAACGAGTTTGGAAAAGGCACGTCGAGTACCTAGCACACAGTTCCAGGGAAAATAACGTAAAACTGGGTTTGAGATAAGATTCGGAAGGGGAAAACGATATTAATATTAAGTACCATGTATGCTGAAGCGAAATTACTCAAGAGAAATTAACACCAATAATGCAGGGGAACACAGCTTTAATGATCTCGACAACAATCCATCATTATGCCTGGACGTATTCCAATTAATCGGCAATCCTAGCTAAGAAACGAAAAACAAAGGGAAAATCCCATGTGACACGTTTTTTAACAAAACCCAAGAAGTGGCTGTACCTTGATAATCCATACATTCACGCATACACAGTAGCAAGCATCTGTGAAAGCGACAAATGAGGGCAAATTAGCAACCATGATTCCCGCTGTCAGTTTTTGCATTGCATGTACACGTAACTTTCGTAGCTCAACCGTAATTATAGGCAACCCAACCGTCAAAGAAAGATGTAACGATGAGATCCCAACTCGACCATTCACACACACTTCCCAGGAGCTCCATGGGCTACAGTTCAGAGCTTTACCTTTTAGAGGGTTCTGAAAAAGGGGACTGGTCTTTGGTCATTCAGACATCTAATTATCGTTCAACTGACACTAAGAGAAGCTAAAACTCTTTTACAACTCCTGTGCAACGCACACCTGGATACATCAGCATGTTCTTGGTATTTATAATATTTCCAAATAGGTCCGTTGAGAGACATTTTGTGGTAAATTTTCAACATTAGGGAGACATCGGTCATTAGAGAGACATTTCAATGCCTCCCTAATGCTCCAACTACCAAAAGGAGGAAAATTTTTACCGTCCACATTTTGAGACATGACAGATTAGGGTCTGAATGGAGAACATGCAAAGTTTGTTAAGACCGGATAATGGAATATTGAATTATGGGACGGTAAAGTTTGAAAAATTTTGTGCACGTTCCTACGGGAATGTCTCCCAAGTGACCCATTTTCGGTAATAATAATTATGATTATTATGCTATATGAAATCAACTTTTAGAGTCTCCCGCCAAGCACGTATTATTCATCTTGCAAGCATTTTTTCGTTTGAATTAATTAAATGTTTCATGTTTACCAAACCAACAAATTTTTGTGATATTTCAAACATGGAAAGTAAATGCCAGAAAGTCCGACAAATATTAGTACAAAGCAAGGCCAGCGCTAGCTGCTCAAACATTTATTGCGTATTGCTATGGGCCATTGTGTTCATTACTTATGAATAATAAGTAGGTCTAAATGCCAGTTCATGTACAAGAGTATCGACGCTGGTATGAAATAATGCATTGGACTTCCAATTTTTTTGCGTGGGAAGCGCGCAGCTGGTGACGGAATCTTCCATGAATAGAATGCGCACTCCTATACTAATCCATGAGTACACTGTGCCTCGGTGTTTTCTAAAATTAAAAAAGTTTTGATTAATGAATCAAATTTCTCCAACACTATCGCTCATAAACATGGCTATTCACGTGCCTGGCAAATGGCACACAAAATACATAAAGGCCCATTTATGGAGATCACAGAATAAACAAACTTTGTTGTCACCGTTTCACGTAAAAATGTCAAAAAGTTTGAATGATTGAAGTCGAACGTCACTTGGCGTTTTCAAATGTACAGGGATGGAAAAACGAAAACTATAAAGCTTCTGGCCCGATATTAAACTCGGTTTAGATAGGTATCGCGTTTTAAGATCTGCTGGTCACTCAGTGCGATAAGAATTTTGTGCCACTAAGCTCGGCGCTGGTATTAGATTCTGTCGCCAGTGTCGATTCTGAATACATTCTGATGCTAGGATTGTTTTCATGCTTGGCAGCCATTGATGGACTCATACTCTCTATACTGAACAGTTCATCTAGGCGTTGATGAGACGTCTTACAGTAACCCTTCGAAAAGCAAGAAATTTGGCTGACAGTGACACTGTATCACGAGCGACTACTTTCATAGGGACGCAATCTGTAAACACTTCAGATGGTGGGATGGAAAGCCACACGCGAGACCTGTTACTGGGAATTGGCCTTACGTGCCGACCGTGGATCGTGCTTCGGGTTCCTGACGCGTAGAGGTTTTCAACACGGCCATACGCGACGGCTGATGACTGCATGGTATTTGGAAAGTGACAGCATGGTCTTATAGGACGTGCCTAAAATGCACCTAGCACTTAACAACAGATTCAGAGGCAGCCTGAATCGCCAGGGAGATTTGTAGTTTATTTTATTTTATTTTGCCATAGACTGACGCCCTGCAAATTTTTGTGTTTGCTTTGTGCTGGACAATCTGGTTTCTCTGATCCTGATTATGACCGATTAACAAACCTGGTTAAATGTAATGATATTTTGTTGCTATTGATTTGCTCTGTTTTTTTGCTTTTATCAACTGTCACAGGTTTGTCGCTTTGAGATGACAAATCAACTCGCGTGCGGCTTTCCCTCGATAAAGCCAGGTACTTTACCAAGCATTACTGCCTGATCAATTACCTCAAGAGGGCAAAATGAGGGGCACCAAGTCCCACCTGGGCGGGGGGGAGACCCCAATCATCACGGCGGACATGGAGACCGGCCAGGAGCTGGAAATGAGTACCACAGACGCGGACATAGCCAAGATGAAGCGTAGGGAGCGGAGAAAGAGCCGGCAGTCCGTGGGCGACTTCTGGTACCAGTGCCTGCCAGGATGGCTCCGCTACCAATTCAAATCGCCCTCAATGGAGGCGACCTACCAGACCTACTTCACAAGGCAGAGGAGGGACGCTCTGCCGGTTCTCGCCGGCTTTGCCCTGCTCTTTGACCTCGTGGTTCTCGCCCTGTACATCTACAAGAAACTGACTGTGGCTATAGCCATTATGGCCATCACCACCGTTACCAATCTGATAGTGTTCGCTTTGTGCCAATACAAACTTGTAACGGATTGGACCCTCTTGCACATCATGCCGTACGCGGTCTGGCTCCTCCTGACGGGACAGACAGCAGTCGACTTGTTCTTTTTCTATAAGCCATTGTCGCCCAGTGATGGTGTTGGGTGGCAGGTGTTCTTCATATTCGCCTCCTTCGTCATGTTGCCGGTCCGGCTTAGGTACATTCTGGTGCTAAGTCTTCTCAATATTGTTGTGCACAGTGTTATGGTGGGAGTGTTATCCAGGGTTTATGTCTCCAATCTAGGAGTGCAGGTAAGCTGATACAATCATTATACCAGTCTTATAATGTGCATCTGTCACACAAGCCTGTGTCCACCATCTTTGTTCCCTGAACACGTCTGATCTGACCTTTGAAGTTTAGAAACTAACTTGCATGAAAGAAAATTGAAACTGGTAATCATTAACGCCTCTCCAAGGCCTCCTCGTTTCTGTTGAATCGATTTGCGAACGGAAATGTAGGTGTAGTGTCCACTTAGCGTTATCAGAGAAACCTTTTGACCAAGAAGTCAAACTTCCTGTGTAGAATAATTTGAAGACTTTGCGGGTTTATTGCAAGGACGTGTCCTACCAAATGTTCTTCCAGCCAGCGCAAAGGCAACAAATGTCACTGCCCACTGTGGACTCTGGGAATTATTTTTTTTTTACCCAAGCCTTGAATAGCACGAAGCAACAATCAAAGGCCGGCCTTTGCTGAAAGGTTGAATGGACTGAGGGATTGAATTGAAATGAGGCTTTCTTCCCTTGAGGTATATCCAGGGGAATGACTTCCCGTCTCCTAAAGAAACATACGTACGAAATGGAGGCTGCGGCATCCTATACACACAATCTATTTAATGTCGGGGACCAAAATTGGATTGGAAAAAGTAATCAGTACTCTCCTCACACGCCTGTTTTATATTTCTTAGTCGAGGTAATCTTATACTCAAGAATATAAAAATACACAAACAATGATCAATACTACAATGATTTTTAGTTCTTGTATGGAAAAAATCAGAGCCGTGTGCCATCCATATTCAATTTGACGTCAGGAACCATGTCTTCCGAAGCCTGCCTTTCATGTCCTACCCGCTTCTTAGTTCTTTCTTGCCCTTTGACCTTCCACGTTTGGTTTCTCCGGACTTGGTAGTTTTCCTCCTATTAATCATTATAAGATTGACGTAACAACCGTCGCTCTACCCCTTCAAGCTCTCCCTGTGCGCGTCATTGGGGTAATGATATCGGTGCCACTGTTGGTTTCCAATATTGATTTCCTGCAAATGCCTTTTCCTGATGTCGATTAACAGACCGCACACATTACAGAGTGCATCAACAGAGCCGCCAAAGAAGGGGAAAGACGTTACATAGATAGAAGCACTCTAAACACTGATTGGTTAAAACGGCTGCCAGTCTGTTGGTCGAGCGCACAACCAAAAATCAACCAATCCAGTATGACTAATGTGTAGGCTGTCCTTCAATCACTGTCTTAGGTTTAGCTCAAAACCAATATTGTGGCTGTTTTCAACGAAGGTATTGCCCCATTTTTACCAACATAAGCATACTGAGTCTAGTCGACCATTACAAATTGGTTAATCTTACATGTATTAGGAGTGAGCTAGACTTGGAAAACTTGATGCCACAATTCTACGGTATTTCCATCACAGATGCATGTTTTGAGTGAGTGCAATGTGGTGTTTTAGTGCTTTCAGATAGCGGTAGTGGATTTGAAATATGACTACACTGTTATCGAAGATCAACAGAAAGCAATTTCAAACAAAGAAAAAAGCGGGCCAGTTGTGATTAAAAGTGCACGCCGAGTGGAGCATGTAATTTACAGTGTAAGGGCTTGTACCCGTAAAGGAACAGTCCTACGTCTGCCGAATCCGTATACAATTGTTGAATAATTACCCATGTTAACTGAATTTTAGGAATTACTGATGTACATGTGAATAGTGTTTCAAAGCTTACAGGATCGCTCCCAGGGGATGTGGAAACTGGAAGTATACTATGCATTAAAGTAATATGCATGAATTCATACCAATACAGTCCAAACGTCAGTTTCAAAGGGCGTTTACATGTGTTTTTGCTGCTTGAACAGTTTTCAATGAGGTGGTGAATACATCAACTACTAGCTCGCTTCGCCAACTGCCATTTTCAGCATCGAGTCACATTCCTCCTCCTTTAACTTTCTCTACGTCATTTCATACACAACGGGCAGCGCGTTCGGAGAAATGCGCTTGATTGTCCTGCTGGAGTCCCGTTGTATCTTCAATAAGTTCAAAGTACCATTCAGTTTGTGGGCTTTACACGTGTGAGAAATTTGTCGCCATGCATGTGAAATTGTGTTTCACTCTGTACAAAGGACAGGTCAAAGTGACCAAATATGATGTAGTCGTTTTCGTCTCGACATTAATGATTTCCCCTGCACGGTGAAATAAAAGCTCATTTTAGGACGTCATTCTAAGGCAATTCAAATCTCGCGTTTGACCATTATTGTGGATGGGGCTCAGTAACCAATCAGTTTCAAGGTTTGATCAATTAGTTTGGGGATTTAAATACGATGGCACCTAAACGCGAGCTCCAGTCGGCGTTTCACGTGTGCCATTGACACGAGACGAATCGATGGGTTCCAATCCCACTTCAGGCACGTAAACCGTGACTGCACATTCAACCTACAAGGTTGATTGATAAACAGCACACAACTGCTAGATTGCTAAAACACTTGCACTCCTCTGATTTTTTGCTCAATCAGTAACACTCAATTCCTTTGAAACACGAAAAGAATAACCTAGCTGACGTCACCGTTGTCCTGTACATTTAATAATATTTTTTCATAAACAAGAGGAGAGCTTTTTGCTCCACTCCATGTTTTGAAGGAGAATGAACGTCTGCCTGCATCTTCAAACTTGTAATTGCATTCCGTGCAGCATATTACTGAAGCTAGGTTTCCCAAGAATCTTGTACGATTTCAGTTTTTTTTTTCGTACTACAGGGTGATGCTGACAACGTAATTTGATTGTTGCCTTGCACGATGAATTTCCTTCAAAGGAAATCTTCTTTTATCTTACACATATAATTTTTTTTAAACAGAAACACTTTTCAAAATGGTTTGGTTATACCAATTTGCGGCTTTTCCTGGCGCTGAACTGGGGAGGCACGCTCTTTACGCTCTAAAGATGGCGACAAGCATGGCTTTAGAGTGTAAGTCTCTCTGCATTTTTTAGAAACATTGGTTTGTCAAACCATTGAGCAATGCCGCCCCACAAAACACAGCTAACAAATAACGTAGTGAGCAATATCGGCGGAGTTGCAAGTCTCCAAAAGATCAGAGGTAGGGCTGAATCAATTCGAAAAATTCCCTATTCCAATATTCGACCTTCAATTCGATCGAATATTCTGTCGTACCGACCGACAGATTGTTGATGAACAAACCATGTAAAATATCAGTGGCAACAACACACACAGTTCACATTATAATCAATAAAATAGCTTCTCACGTCTATGAATATCTCCAGCCACGATTTAGCAAGATTTAAGAGGTGAACAATACGTCTTGCCTTATTGAAAATTTCTATTCCTTTTAACTTTTTTAATGAATTTACTTTTGAATCGTTGTAAGATTTCTGTCACTTTCACTTGAAACTGCGTAAAACAAACCTCCATAGTTCAATTTTTCTCATTTAAAACAAAGCAAATTTTGCGTTTGAATATTCGAATTCGGATAATTGTATTCGAATATCCGATTATCGAATATTTGGATATTCAGCACAGCCCTAAGTAAGAGGCCTAAGGGGTTCGGTGAAAAAAATATATTAACAAAAACAAAACAAAGAAAAAGGCTGTAATGGAAGCTGAAATCTAATCAGATGCATACAATGAAATTGTGAAAATAATCCCCTTGTGATATAGAGTCCTGATATAGAGACAATACGAGAGTAAATGACACTGTAACACGCGCATTCAACGCCCCAACAATACAAGGATCCAAGAGTGCGACATAATTATTAACGTGGAAAGTCATGATTATACTGCCGGGCTGCCATGTTTCATAGCGATCACTGTTGCAGACAGATTTGTCATTGCGTGGCATGACACATAATACTCAGCCAACACAGCAAACGGAGGAAACCTCCGGCCTGGTGTCCTGCCGAACGGTACACGAATAGAGCGAGGTTATAGTTTGAGTCATGTGTGCGTTATATTTCGAACAAACCGTTTGTTAAGAATGGACTTGTTTGGTACAAACGGGGGATACAGCGGGAGAAGAGAAAGGGAAAAACGGAGAAGGTGGGGGTGGGACAGTGGGCAGTGGACAGTGAGAAAAAGGCGGGGAACTGAGGAAAATCTCCAGCACTTTTAAGCACGAATTCAGGCTCAGCATGTAGGCATTTTTCACTTCATTTCAGAAATCATGGTCAGGATGTCAGTCAGTTTTAATTTTCGCTTTCAATATTGCAGTCATTTAAAATGGCACCATCCCAAATGTTCTGCACTCTGCTTTCTGTCGGACTTACGGTATCTTTATTCCCATTTAAAACTGACCTTCGCGCAATTTGATAGTGCGAATTTTTGTCAGCTTCTGTTTCTCGCTGTCAAGGACTTTCGTATCTGATGAGATTCCACCTGTACGGCGACCACGATAACCTGGTCAAAGCCCCATGCGGTGTGTTTCAGTGCGCGCAAATCCCTCAGGTTCGTCCATTAATATTCGTTTGTGCGCTTGGCCGCGCACCCACGCCCAGTATTGTTGCTTCGTGACTTGCTTGGCTATTTTACACTGTGCAGGTTTTGTGGCGTTACATATTATTTTGCATATTACTTTACAAGAAGGAGCAATTTCGACTTCTGCATGAAGCAAGTATAGTGAGAAATGCAATGCAAATGTGACCCACTCTGTGAAAATGAGTCTTAAGTCGCTGGAGCCACTTTTGAGTAAAAAGTCCTTCAGAATAATTTTGCACAGTGTAACTCAATAGGAACCCATGTGCAGCATTTTTCACCATGGAGTATCCACTTTTATCAGGATGCCAAACTGAGTGATACATCAAAACAAGAAACTGAATTTGCTCTTTCCAATACAAATGAAGACTCAAAATGTGGATTTGGCGACCTAAGACTCATTTTTGCAGAGTGGGTCACAAATATCGCAGTGTTATAAATTGTCACTCACCCGTTGTATCTGAACTCACTCCCAGCAAGTACAGCTTAATCATGAACAGTATGGACTGTCGGGTTTTTTTTTCAGTAGATATATCAAGAAGAAAATCCCAGTGTAC